CCTAAAACTCGGTGGGTTTATGCTTCACTAGGAAGCATAAACCTAAGTCTATTCTGAAGATTCCGATAATGTTTTTGTTTGAAGCATAAACCTAGTTATTTGGGGAATGAAGGTCCCCACTGCATAGCTTATTACATCGCCAGTAGCATTTAGCTGATCGAGCGATGCAACTCAACACATATCCACATCATGGCGCGACCACTGGATAGCGTGGTTGGCTATATCTTAAATAACAATACTAATAACAAACCCAGTGCAATCCCACAAAGCGGGGTCTGAAGAGGGTAATGTGTACGCTTACCTTGTGAAGGTAAACGTGGTAGGCTATATCTGTGTTGCAATAATGTAGTCTTCGCAACATAGGCTCAAAATCACTCAATTGCATAGTTGCTTCTAAATCTTCCCTCGGATTTGTGACAGTAAAGATATAAATAGATAGAGTAGCAGAGCCAGAGCTCGGTAGTCAATACATGAACATGTACCTCTGCTGGTTCTTTTGAATTTCCCTAAGAAGAGATGATTTTTTTCGTTTAGTTTCTTAAATCTTAATTAACAAGAACAGAATCTCAGCTGGCCTCCACCTTTTGGAGGTTTCATTAGCTTCAATGCATATTTTGTTATTGCTATAGATAAACTGAAACCAAAACTTGCAAACTAGTACTAAATTGTATGAGAAGTGATAGCGAACAACACACTGTAAACGTCAATGATATAGTGAAAAATAGCATAACTCTTATTTGTATGAGTAACTGCAAAGAAATCATTTGAGTACCCATATCTACACGTCCTACGGAGAAGTAAAAATTCTTGTTGCTTTCTGCATTATTGATGATTACACATTACATACATGGAGATCTATGAGCCAGATGAAAGGTTGGACAAATACACAGCTAACACTTGAGAGCAAAAGTTTATATTTTACGCTTTTCCTTCCCATTCTGTTATTCAGCTGTTATAGCTATTACTTCTGAGACAATGGAGTTTTAAGCACCAAATTTGGCCTTGATTCCATCAATGACACTTGCTTCAACTTGGAAGGTCTTAGTCAACACATCATTAGGAATGGGAGGTGTCGAAGCAAATAGTGTAGTTGGAAGGACGACTACGCCTGGCAAATGACTGTTAAAAGCTGTGAAGGTCAATGCCTTCCCCTTACCAACATTCATTTGAAAATGCACTAGTCCTCGGGGTACCACAAACATCTGCCCTGCAGTCAAAACTTTGGAATAGAACTTGTTATCCGTTGTCACGAACCCAACAAAGAGTTTCCCCTTGATGACAACCCCGGACTCAGTTGCACGAGGGTGTGAATGGGGTGGATTTATCCCTCCCGGGGCATAGTCAACTCGATTCATTGAGAGACCTAGCGTGTTCAACCCCGGGAAAGCAAGAACATTTCCTGGTGTCACACTGAATCCAAATACATTGTCTGTGTCTCCCTCTTTGCTTAGACCATCAAAGAAGAAGTCATCCGAAGTAACTTCGGAAGCAGGTTTGCAAGGAAAGCCGTTAAGAGATGTTGATGTGCTGTTCAGAATTCCAACACAGAAATCCTGCAATGGATCAGGATCAGCTGAGTGAGAAGGAAACGGTAAGACTACCAGAATTATCAACAAGAATGTCACACCAATAGAAAACCCCGACTGAGAGTTCAGGGCAGCCATTGTTTAGTGTTGTAGAAGGAAACTTGATTCAAAGAATAGTGTGGCATTGTACTAATGGACAGGAGTTTAAGGGCTATTTATGCCTTGATGTTATCTCATCTGCAAGAAGGCAACCTGTTAAAATAAAATCATATCATATCATATCATATATACATAAAAGAAAGGAAATTTAGTTGAGGTTAGTTGGAACTTTGACAACAGATGAATGCAACGTTTTAACTTCTGTAGGGAGATGAAATAGTCAATGGAATAGCTAGTAAGTTAAACTTGGGAATTACGACCTCTGTGAATTATTGTATGATTTGTCAAAGCAATGAATCGTTCAACTCCTTTCTAATCAGGTGGTTCATCCTAGCCCGTCCTATGGTATAACATAAGAAGCCAAATAAGTTGAAACAGTCCTGAATTCATAAACTATTAAGTTTTTAAATCATGATTTGAACTAAATGCCATGCTCAGAGGTTCTGGATGCTGTGCTACATTACAACAACAGAAAAGCTCTAATATATATTTTGGATCAGTTTCTAACTACCAAATCAAAGGGAAAGCCTGAATTTAGATTTAAGTGTTCCAATACTTGTAACTAGTGGTGGCAAATGAATTATCCATCCATATTATCCACTAAAAAATAGATTGGATAATGAACTTTTTATATATTGGTCAAAATATGGATAAGATCTATATTATCCACTTAAAAAATGGATAACCAATGAGTTTAACTTTTACATTTGCAAAGACTCAACTTATGAGTTCATTAAGTTGGGAGACTAGGAATTCTCCTAAAAGTGATCATATTCAAGAAGCCATGGATAATATGGATATCCATATTATCTGCCGATTAACCCATTTTCTATCCGTATTAAATATGGATCGGGTCGGATATTTTGTCCATTTATACATTATCCATTTTTTACCTGTCCATATCCGACCTGACCCCCCAGTTTGCCACCCCTCTTTTAACCTTTTAACGAATTAATGAATCAAAGTATTGAAGATAATGAAGAGAAGTTTTATTGTGTGCCTCACACAACTGACATTAGTTGTGTGAGACTCTTTTTTGTCTCACAAATTTGTGGACCCCAATCTTATACTTCTGGGTCCATAAAAATCTGGGTCCACGAAACTGTGAGACAAAAAAGATATTTCATACAACTAGTGTAAGTTGTATGAGACACAAAATAAAATTTTTCAAAAATAATGCAGGTCAAAATCCTTATAAGAAAAAGAAATAACGCCCACAACTGGAGTAGTATTCATGAAGAATTTTGTTTTTTTATCTTTCAACTGGAATACTAGACAATTACTAGGAAAAATGATCAAATTGGAGGAAAACTGAGTAGGTAAACCTACCCATGCCCAATATTTTTGTTAATTGGCATATGACATAATCAACTAAAATTCAAATACTGGAAAAAGTCGTTTATTTGCCTGACATTGAGATCCTGAGGAAGAATTCAATCAAATGCTTCTCTTTTTCACCTGATCCTATATTCCTAATAAATTTTATTGGGAAGATGACGTCCAAGTTTGTTGGAATATGACTTTTCGATAACGTAATTAGAACACCGCATGCTGCATGTAATCTAATCTATTTAATTTCTTTGACTATACCACGATGATAATGAAATTTGAAGAGTGACAAATTATTGTATGTAAAATAACTGCTATGTTTGGCAAGATAAACTTAAAAACAATAGTATGTGGTAGATAGTAACAGGAGATTAACTAATACACAGTAGCAATATTATGTGGATTTAGTCAAAATGTTTTGGTTGCTCGTATTCAAATATAAGGACTTATAAACGATAGTACTACGTTCTGTTTTGATCTATATAAAAGTAAAAATCCAACTGTAAGTACATCGCATTCAGGTCATTTGAGGGCCTTAGGTTGTATAACGATAACAATATTAACACAAGCCTCGTTTCCTTGGTATTGCATAATATTGAGTATGATCTGAATGAGATTGTCAACCACGCCCCACTATCAATAGGTGGGTTGGGCAATGACCCATCTATTGACACAACCCATTTTGATCCATCCAAATTCAGCCCAAACCGTCCATATGCCACCCCTACATGTCTCTAATATGACATGTATTCATATGTTATCCCATTTGGAGAACTCTGATACAGGGTTGTACCACTTGCTGCCTACCCTGAGAGATAGGGGATAATGGTCATTCATATATGTTACCACAAATAAATGGTTCAAATCAATTTATACACATGGGCTACCAAACCTACAACAACAGATCATTTCATAATAATAACCTCTTCCTCCAGATGCCATTTCTCAAGAAAATAGAACAAGCTATTATCCTTGCCCATGACCGCAGTAGTATTATATGCTTGGATCAGAATTCACTAATTGAAAACAGCCTCTCTGCCTGTATCGGGTAGGGGTAAGGCTGCGTACACACTACCCTCCCCAGACCCCACGTATGGGATTAAACTGGGTTTGTTGTTGTTGGATCAGAATTCAGTAAGGTGTGATTCCTTCCCCACCTCTTTGATGATGCTGTGACTGGGGACTCTCCTGAGGCTTTCGTGTTTAAAAGAGCATCTTTTCAATGGTGTATCTCCAGCGCAGCTGGACTAATAGGAATCACACCGGAAGGTGATACAAGTGCATCCACAAGAATATCATTTGGAGTTAGTGGTATAGTACCCTCATCCACTATCTGCACTGAGTAACAAAGTGCAACTGCAATCCAAAGTGAAAAAGTCGCTATAGAAAAGGAAAATTCGTTTACTGTGAACAAAGAAGATATGGCGAAATGGTACGTAATCCTGGAAAGAAGCAGACACAGAGACATACTTTTGAGAGGTTGCTTCCAATTCCGCTCCATTGCAAGCTCTTGATATCTTGACAAAAAGGTGTCGTAGTAACTATTTGTGTCAAACCATGAAAAACAAAGGATTATCAACAAGAGGACAAAAATGTAAAAGTGCAATCAAGAATGAACAGGTAAAACCATGTGACTACTCTTCTTATTTTGTTTTTCCTTTTTTCTTTAACAGGTCCCCCTTCTGCTTCCTTTCTTGTACGCTTTCTCTATTTATATTAACCAAAGCTGTTACTTCTGCAGAAGGGGAACTACAGAGACAAAGGGACAAATCCTACCCTCCACCGCGGCCCAACCGTCTTCCAGCTTTATCAAATGCAAGTCCTTCATAGGAGAGAGAGAGAGAGAGAGAGTAAATATATTATTACCAAAACCAATGTATTTACCAATGATTTCAAGCTTTGAATCATTTAGAGTTTCACAAGTTAATGACAAACATTAACGCACTTACCAGGTAAAAGAAACAAATCAACAGGCTCATTTGCGAACAATACTGCAACAACAAAAAATCTTTCAATTACTACCATTAAGTCCACAATGCTTTTCCAATTCTCACCCTCGAAAGAGAACTGGACAGAACTAAATGTGTGTACCAACAAACATGTCCAAATATGAGCTATACATCAATCATAAGCGAGAAAATGTATTCATAACTTGGTTACTATCTTGATGAAGTAGGTCTCAAAGACCAGCACCTTTTTTTTTTCTTTTTTCCTCCTTGTTGGATAAGTGGAAAAATTGACACTTCTTTCAACAACAATAGTACAATAAGAGAACACACCAGGAAAAGGTATCAATTTCAGAGACGCCAAAAGTTCAGCTGTACAAATGAACCTAAAGATATAACGCTCTTTCATCTTGTACTAATGAACCTAAAAATCTGCTATGCTCTTTCCATTTGTATCAGGTATATTATAATCTTCGGAAAAGGGTAAAAAATATCCCTCTACTATCGAATATTGTTTAAATTTATCCTCCATTGTACTAATCGATCAAAAATGCCCCTACCGTCTTACTATTAAACAAATATGTCCCCAAGCTAACAGAGAGGCCACATGGCGGCCATTTAAGCCATTTGGTATATTCGGATTTATTTTTATACTGACCCGACCCACTACCCGATACCCTCATACCAAAATCTGAACCCTAACTTTTTTGGTCCTTACTTCATCTCCTTTGTTGGAGCCTATTATCTGCAAATCTACTTGGAAAACTCAAGAAATGAAGGTCAATCTCTATCTGCACATCCACATTGGTAAATCCAAGAAAAGAAGGTTAAATCTCCATGAGAGTAAAAGAAATAATCTGTTTATATTTCTTATTATTCAGACCCACAAAGCTATAATATACAATGTCAAATCCAGAATTCTTCAATTTATTGCCATTCTATCAAGCTCAAAAGATAACTCTTTTTTTCTTCTTTTTCCCCTCTAATTCCTTTCATGAGGGATGAAATTAAACCTTCAATTTATATGCTCTTACAGGCATAGATCAACGCTGAGAATTAAACTTTATCTTGATCTTTCTGCAGCAATGAGAGTTCAGTATTTGTTATGTCCGCCTCATAGCTCTTTGTCACTTTGTGTAATTGTCGAGACAAGGTAAATGAATAGGAGAATAAGATCTAAATGTGCTTTGCAACTTTTTGGAGTGGTATGGGTGAAGGTGGGTTTCTTTCTCACTGGTGGTGGCTATGGAGATGAGCCGAAGAGGTGAGGGAGGTGATGGTGGAGAAGAGGGTGTCGGCAGCAAGCTTTGCCTGCAACATAACAGGAAAAACTTCATAGGGATGTTGAATAAGGGTTTAATTTTTAGGGTCAGGTACCGGGTATTAGGCCAGGTCAGTCTAAAAAATAAATCCGGAAGGACCAAATGGCCGCCACGTAGCCCCTCCATTAACTTGGGGGCATATTTGTTCAATAGTAAGACGGTAGGGGCATTTTTTATCGATTAGTATCACGCGGAGGGTAAATTTAAACAATATTCAATAGTAGAGGGATATTTTTGACCCTTTTCCGTATAATCTTTGACGGTTCATCAATCAAAACGAACAAATTTTTTTACCGCTTTCTCCTTTTACATCCTGTTCATGTGTTGCCTGTTTTAGACACGTATCTACTCACACCCGAAGTGTATGTCTAGATTATTACTTTGAATATGATTTCCTATAAAAAAATTGCCTGATAACCATGAATTTTTTTGTAGAGGGGAAAAGTGTGTTGACAGAGCATATCCCATTAGTTCTACAAACTAACTAGTTTGGCTGGGATTTATACTTAAAAGGAAGGGGCATACTTTTTCTGAGGGAGCTTCTAGCAACTAATATGTAGTTGTAACAACAAAAATGAGAACAAGCAAAAAAGTTCCACTTTTAACATGAACAAGACAACTAAGGTAACATGAGGCTTCCTATGCACCAAATAATTTATTCAATATGGGCACTTTAGGAAAGTTAGTAAAACATAAAGCAAGGATTACCCTAACATAGTAACACCCATAATAGAGTTTTCTGAAATGATACAAACTTCCACACTTAAAGACAAGTTCGAGACATAGAGTGAAATTACTCATCAAAATTTTATGAATTACTAGAGGTTTTAACTCATTGAAATGTAACATGAAACAAGTTGATTATGTGCATTTTACCTATTGTTGCTGCAGTAAAAAAAGTTACAGCAGTGTGAAGAAAAAGACTATTCAGTATTTGCAAAGGAAAAGTAAATGTACCATCTTCACGTTCATTTCCATCAGCATCGACTGGAGCTGGTTCCAGAATGTCCATTGAATTTGCAATCAAATCGTTAGTGCTTGAGATGTGAAGCATTCGCATGTTTCTGTTCCTATCCTCCACTCTTGGAACAAAAAGCTTCTTTTGCATCTGCAAATCCTGATCTTATTTGATAATGGGAAAGGAGAACGAGAATTAAGGTCTATAACTAATAAAACACTTAAAAATGAAGAGAGCAACACCAAGAAATTGTAACAATGGTGCCACCTGGTGCTTAATACATTAGTGGAGGAGTACTTATGTTATCCAATATATAGCACAGCCCATTTATCAATTAATCAATCAACCACGACTCAATCCCAAACCAGTTCGTGTAACATAGAAATTCCAGAGGTTCAATTGAATTCCATTCGTTGCAAAATTATACTGTGTAAATCGGGCAAAAACCTTTTTTTGGTTATACATAAACTGTTGAATCCCCTTTACATACGAGAATTTTAGTGTAGCGGCAAAGGGGCTTAAAATTTTTTGAATGAAACATTTGGCTAAGCATTTTGATGCGTAGAAACACACCTCTGAATGGCTTCCGAGAATATGAGATAGTATTCGGGTTGTATCTACTTCTCGCAAAGCACTACAGCTTATGTAAGCACACAATCTCTTGCAAGCCTTAAACCATGGAGCCTCCATTACAATCCTTTGTATTGCTTCATCTAACCACTCGCATACAAATGAAAATTATCAATATACCTTCAAATGGAAGAGAAATAATAAAATTCTACAACACGTACGTGTATTGAAAAAAGTTACCTTCTTGGGATCTAAGGGTGGGATCCATGGACTTGAGATCTCTTTTCACAACAGAACGGAGGGCCTTTTTCTGCTTGAAAATTGTTTCCAAATGGGCAGCGTCCGAACTGAAGTTTTGTTCTCCGGTGGCGCTCATGGTGGCCACGCCGTAACACGGTGAGGGTTGACGGCGGAGGATGGCGGAGCGGGTGAAAAAGAAGCGGGTGCTGGATAGTCCCACCGCAGTAGCTGACGTGGCTACTGTCCAAGGATTGGTCATTTAATCGCCTGGTCGTGCGTGCACACATATCATTTATGTGTGCTCCTCACGTTTCCAAATGCCCGCAGGTTTCTATACAGCACTTGGGATTAGGGAATTACCACACTATTCCTTGCTTCCTCCAGTCCAAAATAAATAATTTTTTTGATTGCTTTTATACGGATTAAGAAATTTATCTTTTAATATTAAATAAATAAAATTAATCATATTAACTTTTATTATCTCTTCACATAAAATTTCTAACACGTATTCCAAAGGCAATGTAAGAAAAAAATAATTAATTCATTCTTAAAATCTAGAAAAATCTCTTATTTTGGACCACAAAAAAAAGGCCAAAAAATCACTTATTTTGGATTGGAGGAAGTACTCTCCAAATATTAGTCACTTTTAATAAAATAAATTTATTTCAAAATATTTAATTTTAAAATAACGAGAAATTACTAATTTGTTTTTTTCAAAGTTACTTAGTATATTTTTCAATTAGTACTCTTATAATTATGATTCAAGCTATTAAATATATTACTTAAGGGTTATGCTTGTGCAAAAAACATGTAACACAGTAACATGGATGAGAGGAGTATGCCTATCTCAGGGATAAGATCTCATGAGACAGATTAATTATATGGATCGCGAAAGATAATACTTAGGATTGATAGGTCACATGTCAGTCGCACAATTGACGATAATACCGAATAACATAATTTAGTATAGTTAAGTGGTAAATTGAGATAATTATTGTATATATTAATTACTACCTCCGTCCATTTTTGCTTGTCCAGTATTCTAAAAATAAATTTTTTACTTTTGCTTGTCACTTTTAACATATCAAGATAAGACAAATTCTTTTTTCATGTTATATCCAAAGTATTAATTACTCATTTCAAATTATTTTCTCAAATCTATTAAAAATATGCATCAATTAATATGGTTATGATAGTAAATTATACACTTCATTTATTATTTTTTAAAGGATGCGCGATGTTCACAAAGGACAAGTAAAAGTAAGCGGAGAAGTAATCATAAGGAATTTTTACCTTCCTATGCCACATAGGAAACCTTATTACCCTCAATGTTTAAGGTTTGATTTAATTACACTTAGTATACCAAATTACCAATCTTATACCATACTTAATTAAGGGTCTAATTAATGGGCAGTTTTTACTCCTTAATTAAAGGTGTTCATATATCTCACGTTTCTCTATCCCCCTAATTCCTAAGACCTACGCAGTTTTTCCCCTCCCCTTTCTTCCTCTTCTCCATTCCTTCTTCCTCTTCTCCATTCCTTCTTCTTCTCAAAAAATACAGAGATGGAAATTGCAATTTTGTTACGTACGAAATAATAGGGCCCACGCTTTCTTATTTCTTTTCGGATTCAAAATCATATTCTTATGGTTTTACGACATAGAGCTACTGCCTTCACCAAATATTGAAGATAAATCTTCAAAGTTCATACACACATTTACCTTCAGCTTCAAATTTTCTCAATGAAGAAGAACAAACTTTCAAAGAGATAAAAGAGCAACAATTCCACCATTGACAGCCATTAAAAAGCTTTGAATTCAAATTTGGGTTTTCAAAAATCATTATTTATTTTGATTGGGTGTTGTTGTAAATAATTGGGAATATGTTTTGGAGTTTATATCTCAATTTTGAGGGGTTTTGGTGAAGATTTAGACTTGGTTTTGGCTGAATTATAGATTGAAACTCAAAGAAGAAGAAGAAGAAGAAGACATATTGCAGAAATTGTAGATAAATTGTAGTTACAGTTGGATTGATCAGAATTTGAACTAAATACATCTTCGCACATGTTGATTACAAAATTTTTCTCTTCATCTACAAAAATTCTACAAATATACTACAAATCAATTTTAAGTATGTATAAAGCAGTATTATTTGTAAGGGTATCTACATAATTACTACATTTATACTACAATTAAACTACAATCTATGTTGAAAATCTACAAAATATCTACAAACTAGGTACATTGAATTTTACTATCCCAATTCCCATTCAATTGTAGCATAATTGGGATTTTTGACATAATTGCGTTTTTTCCAGAAGATTTGTAGAAGTTTTAGTCGTTTTTGATGTGTGAAAACAGAAAACAAAGCACCTACAATTAGAATACAAATAATCTACAATTTATCTACAAAATATCTATAAACTGGGTACATTAAATTTTTATATCCCAATTCTCATCCAATTGTAGCATAATTGTGTTTTTTGACATAATTGCGCTTTTTCAGAAGATTTGTAGGAGTTTTAGCAATTTTTTATTTATGAAAACAGAAAATAAAGCATTTACAATCAGAATACAAATAATCTACAATTTAACTACAATTTATCTACAATTTCTGCAATATGTCTTCTTCTTCTTCTCCTTCGAGTTTCAATCTGAAATTCAGTCAAAACCAAGTCTAATCTTCACCAAAACCCCTCAAAATTGAGATATAAACTCCAAACCATATTCCCGATTATTTTCAACAACACTCAATCCAAACAAATAATGATTTTTGAAAACTCAAATTTGAATTCAAAGCTTTCAAGCTTTTTTAATGGTTATCAATGGTGGAAAATATATGGAAGAACAGATGAAGAACAGAAATCTCCTTTCCGTTCAAAACTTGAATTTAATGTAGACTCAATCAATCGCAAGATTTTTTCCTGATTTTTAGCGCGTTAATTATGGAAGATTTTGCCCAATTAATCGTGTATTTAACAAATGGTACAGAAATTGTAGGAAAACTGTGGACTGGGCGGGTAATTTACATAGTATACACATATTTGGTAATAAGGTTTCATATATGGTATAGTTACGAAAAAATTCCTAATCATAATTATTGCTTATTGAGCACGATTGACGACCGTTAATTCAGTTAATTGATCCGCCAAGCACTTTCCTATTAATTAGTTGAACAAGAAAGAGTGGCCATTTGGTACATAACATATAGCTGAAATCCACAGCACCATCCAATTTTTGGAAACATTTGCATTAGGGAAACACTCTTCCTTTCTTCCTTCTTCACATCTACTAGAGAGAAATTAAGAGGAAGGTCATGATCTGGGGTTTACTCTACCTACCAAGATCATGATCTATCTCATTTCATCCCTTGCATTTTGATCCCTCATTTCTTCATCTCTTCTGATCAACATTCATTGTCTTGAATTTTGTTGGGTTGTTTTTATTAGACAAAAGTTGAGGTAAAAAGAATGGCTTCGCGATCTTTCAAGCGTTTGGTTGAACAGAAGGTGGGAAGAGTTGGGGTTTTCTTCATATACGCTATTCTTGAATGGGCGATGATCATTATTCTTTTCATTGATGGTTTTCTTGCATTTTTCACCAATGAATTCGCCAAGTTCTTTGAATTGAAAGTTCCCTGCCTGCTATGCACGAGGATCGATCATATTTTCATTAAAAGGAACTCTAGTTTTTATTATAATGATTCCATTTGTGAAGTTCACAAAAAGGACATCTCTTCCCTTGCGTATTGTCATGTCCACAAGAAGCTTTCTGATATTAGGAACATGTGTGAAGGCTGCCTTCTCTCGTTTGCAACAGAGAAGGATTCTGATTGTGATAGGTATAAGTCATTAGTTGGGATTTTGCATAAAGACATTGATTGCTTTATGGATGGAGATGATCAGAGAGTTTCCATAAAATCAGTGAAGAATGAAGATGAAGTCATCAAAACTGGAACTGTTGTTGTCCTGAGGTGTTCTTGTTGTGGGGAGCCTCTGAAACTGAGGTCTAAATATACGCGGGACTTGTCTATAAATGAAAATATTTATTCACAAGCTCCTGCCCCGTCTCCTCGATCTCCCTTGACAACATGGAGAAATGAGGAATCGCGCAATCTAGAATTGCCTCATGTTCGGTACACAGAGCTGAAGTTTACCTCAGATAATGACTCCGACCTTCCAGATGATGAGGGTCACCAAAATGCAGGTACCTATTTATCTTGAGTATTTCTTTTGCTTCATGTTTTCTTCATTATCAGTGTTGTGGTGAAAAGAAAAAAAGAACAATGAAAGAAAGAGAAGAGCTCTTTCATCTTAACTTGTGCAAGCACTTTTGTTTTCAACCACCAGATGGTAAAGGAAGGCGCCATCCCTCCTTTCTCTCGCAATCACAATAGCCGTAAAGTCGAATAGTTGAGTTAGACAGGGGTTTTACAATTAGAGTTTAAGTTCTACCCATTGCCAGTGTGTATAACTTAAATCCTTACATTATCATGACAACTCATAACCAGAGGCGGAGCTGGGATTCTAATTCTTTAAGTTATTGAGTTCTAAATTAATAATTTGTATATATTCCATGAATTTCACAAGACAAATACAGGGTCGGGACAAAAGCTACTAAGTTTGGTCAAACCCGTAAGCAAAGAGCTAGCTCCGCCCCTGCTCATAACCTCATTCTCTCGTAGCACATACGAGACTGTCATTGTTGAAGGGGATAGTAATAATATTTTGGTTTTGCTTTGGGGGGTGGGGGTAGTTACAATTTTTCCCTTTATCTGTCTTTGATGCTAAGAGTTAGTATGTTGTTAATTTCATGGTATGTTAGTGCTTGGTGCTCGCTTTAAGAAAGAAAGAATAATGTAAGCAGAAGAAATGGTGGAATTGCAGTTACAGAAAGCTTCTCTGAATCAAGAAGGATTATAGCATCCATCAGCGCATAGTTCACATCTCTTGCATAATCTTTTCTACTTTAACTCTCTTTTTTCCAATGTGTAGCAGGTAGAGATGATATTAATGCAGCTACAGATCCTGAGGACATACATGATGAATCTTGCAAAACCCCAAATTCTGCAAGAAACAAAATCTTTGGGATCCCATTGTCAGACTCAGCTCAAGCCAGTCCTAAGTGGCCTTATAGGCCCAAAAAATTGGGTGGTGATAAGAGTGAATTCATTTCAGATGCTAATGACACGAGTGCAGCGAATGAGGCAGATGATGATATCTTGCATCGCTTGAAGAGGCAGGTTCGTCTGGACCGAAAGTCTCTCATGGAACTGTACATGGAATTGGATGAAGAAAGAAGTGCCTCTGCTGTTGCAGCAAACAATGCCATGGCCATGATCACGCGCTTGCAAGCAGAGAAGGCAGCTGTCCAAATGGAAGCTTTGCAATATCAGAGAATGATGGAAGAGCAGGCTGAATATGACCAAGAGGCCTTACAAGTCATGAAAGATCTTGTTTTAAAGAGGGAGGAGGAGATAAAGGTATTGGAAGCTGAACTTGAGACCTACAGGGAGAAATATGGACATGTCAAGAGAGTAGGTAGTGAGGTCTGTGAAGTCGATGCGGATGATGATTATCAAGAGTTGAAATCTCATTCTGTATCATCCTTCGGTGAAAGATCAGAATGTGGCAGTCCTCGTGATATGGATCAGGATGGAGTAAACGAGTTCCATATTGAACGTCCTGGGAAATATGGAGAGGGAACTGTTGATGAATCAAACCTTGATTTTGAGAATGAGAGATCTTATCTACAGGATTTGTTGACAAACCTTGAAAAGAAGATTAAAATACCTCCGGATGTTGAATCTCATGTGTTAGAATCAAATGTGATTCAAGACAGAGGTACATATGATCAGTCTTTGCTTCCTTATTTATCAGCCTTGCTTTTTCTTCTCATTCTTGTTGAAAGTCAGACAACAGATACTAAAACTTCTACAATGTTATTAGGGAATGAGAATAAGGTTACCCTTACAAGAGAAGTGTCTCTAATCAGAGAGAGATTGAGAGCTGTCGAAGCAGAAAGTGGCTTCTTAAAACACGCAGCCAGGACATTACAGAGGGGTGGAGAAGGAACCAAACTCTTGACTGAGATAGCTCAACATCTGCGGGAGCTTAGATACCCTGATACAGCAACAGGGAATGCAGATGCATGACTTTTGTCCAAAAAGGTGATTTCTCTTCTTCTTAGTTGTTTATCTTTATTCTTGCTCCCAGAGGTACTAGAATTTCTTTAAAGGGGAGAAATGAGCAAAAATAGAAAGCTACATTAGTTGTGTGATGTAAATTTTCTACAGATGAGTGTTCGAGAGCCACAGAATCATGAATGCTCCTTTTAGCTAAAAATTGAGCTCCAATTATAAATTTATTGGTCGTGTTAACAGAGATCAATTTTTTGCTTTGCACGTCTCATGTCAATTGTCAGTTCCCTCATCACTTGAAGCTTAACGCTCCTAGTAATCTGCTGGAGTCAGTTATGTAACAAGTGTTTTTTGCAGTTCTTCTCCTTTTCCTCTCTTCTTCTTCCACATTAGGATGTACAGTCTTGGAAGGAGCCTGAAGTTCCCAGCTTTGGCATTTCTCGGAGCTTTACTTCTCAATACCTAGAGCTTGAGGTTCGTCTGGTAATATTCTATTTGATGCTTGTATATTCACTGACTCCATCGTGAATTTTTAACTCAAAATATTGTATTAGTTGCACCCAAAGTAGCACTAGAAATTATTCTGGAGAAGTTATTAGTCGCACCAAAATAGCACAATCCGACTAGCCTTGATATATCATCGGCTTGTCTGATTAAAAGAAGGGAAGAGCTTCTCCAGTGTTTGGGTTGTTTGGTGTTGAGATGACTCTGCATACTGGGGGTGTAATCCCATCTTTTTCAGGAATTTGGAAGAAAAAATCAATTTTAAGTGAGGACATATTGGAATGTGTTAATATCATTCTGCAGTGGACCAAATAGAGGATCAAAAGAACTTGATTGCTTTAAACTTCGACTTTCCTGATGAGGATTAAGTGCTAAGTTTGAAGTATTTTTAAATTTAAGTGCTGACTTTGAAGTAGCTTTACAGGATAATCGCCAGGGAAACACGTAGGTTAACTTAGGTTGGATTCTTATTGACGTATGATCATATTTTAAAGGCCCCAATGATGTCCACTATAGACTATACATCTTCAACAAGGGCTTCAAATTGATCAGGATTACGATTTTCCAATAGGAAAAAAGAAAAATATAATATCTGACCAGTTGTTGAAAGGTATATGGCTCAATATGCGAACATTTGATCTCAAGGCACTGATTAATACTGCTTTTTGCAGGTGAAGTTGGCTTGGAACCAGACAAGTTTGAAATAATCCAGCAAAAGGCAGAATGGACGCACGGGAGGACTCCAATTTGAAACGAAGAAATAGTTTTGTTAAATGTAAATGCATATAGATGGTTATATATTTGTATAATATCCACCTCTCTTGACCTCTTGAAATCTATTTGAAACGAGTTGTTCATCAGATGCTACGACAGGGATTTCATTGACAGCAGATGTACACAGCTGCTTGTTTGGCAGATAATATAACTTAAACAGTAACTAAACGAGCAGAGTGGAAGGTGTGAGCGAGCATTAAATGGATCCTAATCTTCTAATGCGTTACTTCTCTTTCTTTTTCACTCATAGACACCTTCATTTGGTTCCTAAAGCCTCAGTTTACTAGAATCTTCATTTTCGTTTCCTCTCTTTTATACGAAGGGATGACAATTTCCTCCCAAAATGCTTTGATAAGAGCTGCTATTGCGATTGTTCCAATCTTGGTTTCTGAGCCAAACTCAGTCTTTAGACAAGCTTCCCTTATTCCCCAAAGCTTTCATCAGAGTATGCCACAGCAGACAAGGATACAAGTCATCAAGTGATTGTGCGCCAACACATCATAAATGGTAGAGCAACCAATGTTAGGATGACCAGAAATTCCAAAAGAACAAGATGACTCCAACAGATTATATTGTACTTAAACAGAGGAAAGTTTGTTGTCCAACAAAGATACAAAAGTCACCCTATACTTAATAACCTTCTATAAAGCAAGTAGCAAACTATAAGGCCGACAGTTCTTAAGTTTCTTAAATCTACCTTTCAAATAAGGTGATTGTCGAAGAAGTAGATATAACTTAGCATAACCAACCTTCACGAGTCACTTCTACTAAGCTGTACAAGATTGAGTGAAGTTATCCAGATACGTGAGCCCTAGTTATTGCCTAAGCTGAAGGCAACACATCAGCAGACATGTAAGGTGAGATGCAGCCTTGTACCTGAGGAGAACCAACTCACATTAAGACAAAGTATTCAGAAAATTTATCAGACGATCGTAATACCCATTCTTTCTCTAGTGTTATGCACAAGCTGAAAGAGTTACAGTTGAAATGCAAATCAACAACAATTTGAAAAGAAAAAATGAAAACAAATTATTTGCAGTAACACAGTCTCCCTGAAGTTGTCCTCTTCATTTTGAAATGCTTTCTTTGACATCATTAGCCCCAAGCGAAAAGAACAGATCATGCATGTGTACAGGTTCATCAGCAGATGTACTTATCATGCAAACTGTACACAACCATTCTAGTTTCCTGAAAACGAAGTTTCTTTCTTTTTCCTTTTTTTTTTTTTTTTTGTTTTTGATAAGTTCCTGCAATAAAGTTTCAAACTAGGCGATTATAGGTATTTGAGGGTAACTCACATGGTGTGACCCCCTCATCCTTCTCCCTATGGTGAAGGATCGAATCCCATGATGTAATTCCCCCTAAACCTTGCCCCTCCCCCTCCCCCTAATAGTAATAAAATTTTAGAAGAAAAAAGCTAGGCCATGATCGTCATTTCTTAATTGGAAAAGGATAAGGATAACATCATACCAAAAAAACACTAGCTTCTTGTGCGATTGTATATAAACAAGCCATCTTTCAACCTTTTAAATACAGAGGCTACTTATAGTTTACCACAGTCCATAGATAAAAGGATGCAGGATGTGAAACTTCATAATTTTCCAGTAAATCATGCCAGATAAGAAAACAGCATGCAGTGTCACAGGTCTAAATTATCTATTATTTCATAAATACCTTTTGATTCAAAATTTGTCCTTTACACCATATATTTTCTTCTGTTATAATTCTTCACATACAACATAAGCCATAAAAATAAACAAAAGGCATACTATAGAAGATGTTGATATGTTTGTGGAAAGTTGATAAGGCCATCAAGAAAATCTGGTTGATTCCTGCAGCTATTTTTTGGTGTTTATGGACAGAGAGAAATAGAAGATGTTTTGATGGCATCTCAACTCCAAATCACTCTCTCAAGGCAAAATGCCTACTTGAACTTTTTTGCTGGACAAAATTGTCCCCTGTAATTAGTACTGGTCATTTTTTGGACTTTGTTAGTACTCTTGTCCTAGATTGACACTTTGTATAGGGCCTAGCTTCTCCTTTTTGTTTTTGCCTTTGTAACTAGGCCTCCTGTAACTATGTAACTATGCATCTTCTTGAAGCTTTTTTAATGGAACAACTTACTTCATCAAAAAAAATAAAAAAATAAACAAGTACTATAGCCAAAGCAAAGAAAAAGAGTAAAACAAGGAACAGCAGGGATTAGATTGACTAAGCAAAGGGAGGCATAATTACCTGCAACAAACAAGTCGGTATTTGGATAAAGCCCTGTAATAGAAGATCCACCTTCTGTAGACTGCATTTTGGAACAGGGGTAATTACATAGAGTACATGCTTCAGAGTGTCAATGGCACGCACTATTCCTGAATCATTTTGAAGCAGGGAAAGAAAGAAAACAATGAGCGGGAAGTGACATCCAATAGCAACATCAAATTTAAGCTTATTAGGAACAGAAAACACTGCCATTAACACTAAACAAACATGTCTAGATCTAGTTCTATGGTTGGGCATAGTGTGATTCCTCTAGCTAATACAAAGGCAGCCGAGTCGCAGTTAAGAAATAATGTTTGATGCGGACAATCAGTAATAATAGCACAAACTTCTGCATCATCAAATACAAGTGACCATTAGTGTTGTGGAAATGGATCCAACAAGCAAGATCACTGCTAAATGATGCAATAGCATACAGTACATTTTACTAAGTGTATTCATTGTAAAACTAGATCATTTGCATCATGTTCATGCTTCTCGCTCTCATGGTTCTTCAACTACCCTATCTGTGGCTAAACACTTAAAATTCCACATAAATAAACACTGTGACCTGCAAAAAATACTGAAGTCCTCCTAGACAAAGAAAACAAGTAATTGTCCACTGAAAAGAAGGAAAACTGGTAATGTTTTTTAGAGATGTAAATAAAACTGACAATATTACAAAATTTTAAGTGTGGGAATTTAGTTGCAACAACTTACCCAAGCCCATGCAGTCAGGAAATTTTTCAGAATATTCAGAATCAACTGCCAAACCAACAATAGTTGCATTCAAGCTGTAGAAAACCTCACTCTTCGGAACCTGGCATACGGATATAGAGCTAATCAGAATATGACAGAAATATCTAAATATATTTGTATAAGACTGGAATAATAGTAAACTATTTGAATAAATAAGAAAAGGAGGAAGCAAGAATGTAGAAAATGCCCCAGGCAAGAAGATCCAACAGATATGGACGGCAATGCTCTTGGTCAACACCAAAGTTACAAAGCATTGCATGTAGAACATGTCATTCAGCATGACATAACCTACCTCACAATGAACGTGTTTAATTTTGATACTTGATACAGGAATCTCGTATGGAGGGTGGGCAGCTAATGCTCGAGAGAGTTCCTTGATTGTTGTGATTTGCATATCACTTTGGAAGCATTGTCTGAAATAGGCCATAACACGTAGATCACGCAGAAGACGTGCATCTTTCTGTACAAGAACCCTGGGAAAACATATCAGAGGACTAAGAAACAAGGGGGATATAAATTGTTTAAGGAGCAGAGACAACCCAACCAGTTACAAATAAATTCTGGATCTTGCTTAAGGCATA